AGAGATGATCCACTATGTCGTATGGGCCTTCCCATGGAGAAGACAACTTAGGAGACTTCCCTTTGGTCTTCCTGGGATTATACAACCATACCTTGTCTCCTGGTACAAAGCTGACTTCAGTAGATCTCTTATCATAAGTTAACTTCATCGAATCAGCAGACGTTTTCAAGTTTGAACGCACTTGATGGTGGATATCATCCATCCTTTCCGATAACACTTCCACAAACTCTGACATATTCTCAGGCAACTCTTCATAAGGTGGGCGTCCTGTTAACAGATCCACTGGCAACCACTGGTAACACATGATCAGCTGAGATTGAGGAATAGAGTTTGTGCCACTTGTATGAGCAGTTACAAGTGCATGAAGGTGTGTGCATGATTGTTATCAATTACTGAGCAGTAGTTCTATGCCTGTGTTACAGCTATTGGTCCCATGAACTTTGAGGCATGCAATTCTCCAGACTTTGTATGACCAAAACTGGAGAAGATCAAAGTGTTACACTCCAAAAATGAATTGTTGGTTCTCCTCTGCAGAGAATAACCCTGGATATTGCTGGCCTACTCCCAGAGATGGAATGAGGTCACCTGTATATACTCATGGTCATCAACTACTTCACAAAGTGGACTAAAGTTTACCCACTTGTTGATAAGTCACATAGTCTGTGGCTTATATACTGGTGAAGCACTTGATAGCATGGTTTGGAGCACATGAAGAGATGTACATGGCTCACCAAGCTAACTTAAAGAGACAATTGTTCTCTGAGTTATTTAAGGTGTTAGGTATGGTGAAGATGTACATTTCGCCTTATTACACCCAGTCCAATAGTTTAGTAGAGAGGGTAATACAAACTGTCAAGTATATGCTTGCCAAGTTTGTTACTCTCGACCACACTGACTTGGATAAATACTTACAATATATTGTGATGACATACCATGCAATCGAACATAGATCAACAGGTTATTTGCTAAATATACTCATGTTCGACCAACAAGTCTTGCTCCAGGTAAAGGTAATTTATGGTCCTTCACCTTCTCATAATGTCTACAAAAATATGTGGAGTGGTTAAGATCTGTGTAAGTCAGCCCACACAAAAGGCTGCCATGTGATAGAAGAGGTGCTACAGTAAGACATTGAGGGAACGACTTTGCCAGAATGGAGATTAGGTGTGGCTTTGATACATGCAATCAGCCAAGACGTCTCCTGGATAAGCTGTACAAGACAGGACCTTTTTTGTGCCCCTACAAATTGGTTCATTGACATAAAAGTTACAGAAGTAGAGGGGGTACACAGAAGTGAAGAGATAATATCAAAGAGTTGCATCTGTATATGACTGAACTTCTGGTGAACTATATCAAGAGTCAGAAGAGGAGATAGTTCAGACAGGTAAGGATGAGAACACTGTCTTATACCACACTGAACCTGAAGATGAGGAAGAAACAGCTGAGAATAGTTATCTGACTGTTCAGAATAAGTCATATCAGGAAGTGCTCAATCATAGTGATACAATGTATGCACTACATTGTATGATTTACACTTGATTATCGTGAAGATAGGGTGACTGGTGACAGTAGATATAATTCGTAGTGCATCACCAGTTTATATAAATAAAGATACTAGCTAGGAGTTTGAAAACTCAGGCTAACGGGTGTTGCAACCTTTTTTGAGGTACTGGGTATGCACTACATTGTATGATTACCACTCAAGTATCTGATTGCAAGGGCTTTGTAACCCTTACTTTCCAAGCTATCAGGCAGTTTCTCTACATGAGATACCTGTACTATATTAGATGACAGCTGGTTAGTCACCACAGTTAGGATGTTAGTAAATGTAATAACTACACCAGCAACAGTATGCACAACTGAATATTGGCTATAAGTTCAAATACTTAGGTTAATGGGTTTTGTTATCCTTTTTTTCCAAGATACTTAATTATTTTTCTGAGACAAATTGCAAGAACCACTCATTTGATCTAGCTGAATGATGTGAAATCTACAGTGAATACTGCATGGACCTCAGAACATCTTTCTAAGGATGCATGAGGGAGCTGTGTTTCATCTGAGTGTGCATTAATATATTCTGTAGTAACAGTATGAATATTAATCATAACTTACAAGAATTTTAGCTGAAAAGTCTTAGTTTGACTGAATTCTGTCTGTGATTATTTATTTAATGATGCATGAAAACAAAAATGTGTTGAGTTTGATAGTCTGTAAGTAGTAGCTCATTAGCAGACTACAGCTACTGATTAGTAGCTGTGGAAAGTAGCCAGAGATGGTTATGAAGTAATATGTCCAAGAGCTGAAGGCAGTCTGTTGTATGCTATTAGTGCATATTAACATGTGTAATGAAGATATATGTACATAGCAATAGACATGTATAAATAAATATATGTGGTGTGATATGCACATAGAAACTTTAACAAAGTCATTCATGAGTGCTGAAGAGCACAAATGGGTGAATTACACAAAGAACACAACTATTAAGCCACATGAGTGGAAATAAAGGATTTGATCTGGATATTATGACTTTGCACTATGAAGTTAACTGTGATTACTGGTCTATAAGGCATTATTTTAAAATGCAGTTTACCTGTTATTTTCATTAATACTGGTGAGAGAATGTTTTAATTTTTACACTGAAATATTCAGCAGAAAGAGAATTTTCATGAAAGGAGAACAGTAACAGAGACTCCCATTATGTCAGAGAGAAAAATTTTTTATTTTATATGTTGTTTTTTACTAAGAGTAGTATAAGATGTTTCAGTTGTATTCTATGAAATATTTGGAAGTGGGTGAAATTATCAATAGTAAAAGAAATTCACAGACAGTAGCTTAGATATAACAAGAAATATAATCTTGGTTATAAAATAACCCATTATTTTATTTGATTGTGGTAAAATATTTTTAATCATGCAAATTGAGTTAGTAAAGAACACAGTTTTCTAAAAAAATTTTATTTTCATTATTTAAGGACAAGATGCACGAAAATGCAGGCTGTAAGTGTATTAGGGGGAGGCAAAAAGTAACACTTTTTACACCAAAGCTAGTACTAAAGTTGTAATTGGAAGAAGGTTTCTGAGGAAAGACAGTGTAAGTGTTAGAGGATTTTAATGGTCAAAAGTAATATGACTATTATGTTATTGGTCAAGCAGAGTCCCAATGAAGCCTGTAGACCAAGAGGTTTATGTGCACTAGTGATACATATTCTATGGGCAATTACAGTATGAGCACATGTGAACCCCCATCTGACCTTGAATTTTAAATCCAGACTTTTATTAGTTAAGACCAAATTGTTGACCATATTGGCTATCTTGTCTCTAACAATCCAGTGGTGATTTTCTTATTCTGATGTGTGTCAAAGCTGTCATGGAGGGAAGAAGTTTTGAGAACCAGCCCTACACCTAAAATTTCCTGTTTTGTAAGGAACAGGACTTCCCTACCAACCTAAAGATGCTTTGAACCAGCCTGATATTCCACCCAGTAGAACCCATGAATGAGGATGCACTTCTGACCAATGCATAATATGTTAGGGATCAAGCTGACTTAGTACACAGATTGGCTTTACAGTCTCTAGTGGTCAGGCAGCCCAAGTTGTAAAGATTTCCACCTCTAGCATATCATCCATCATCAGACAGAGTATCAGAGTCCACCAGAATTTAGCCAAAAGCTGCCTCACTGCCAACTGAACCAAGTCTACTAGCAGCTCAGCCACGACCACCAATTGCAACAACAACATCAGCAGTCAAAAAGGACAATGCCAGATACCTCAGTATCAGGAACCTCTCTTAAGGTGTTTTATCTGTGAGGGAGATTAATGCCTTCAGTGCATCTCGAAGAAGTTTTCCACTTGTGAAACCTTATGCTTGCCATTGGGTGAGTGTAAATATTGTATGTTCTTACTTTATTTTAATGACTTACAATGTTGTAAATATATAGGTAGCTCTGCATTTTATCTTTCTTCTTTTGGTATTTGTTGTGTCTGTATTGAATTGACTTAAAGGGTATATTTTAAGTGTGGATTATGTTTGCCATGTTATTAAGGATTCAGTTCTTTCATTTATTGTAAAAATTTACAATGTTTATTAAGATTTTGTGTCAAAAGGACAATGTTAATAACATTTATGTATTATAATTGTATCTTGTATTTAGCAGAGGGTTATAAGTTTTGATTTTGTTTACTGTAAAATGATTTATCCCTATTTAAGGATTTTGCTTTTAGTAGTTGCTATTACACTGTCAGAGAGTTTTATGTGTATGTGTGTGCTTGCATCTTTATCAAAGTCTATTTTTGTATCCATGCATAGTTTCAGTGTTAAAGAGTAACTTTTTGCATTCATTCATTTATAGTTTCTTTGTTAAAAAATATATTTTTCAAGTGAGATTATGTAATGGTTAAAGGGTTGTGATATTTATGTGGTTAATTTTCAAGGGTATGAGCATTCCAATGTACTCTTTAACCAGAGCATGAGTTTAAAGTTTATTGGTTTTAAAATTAAATATTTTTAAACCACAAAATTTTGTTTACTTGTTAATTATATTTTCATACATTTTACTGATTACTACTGTAACACACAGTAAAACTAAGGAAAATTTCAAGAACTTCAAGTCACAAATGACTCTAAGTTCACCATAGAAAAACTTCACTTCACTGTATTTTTAAATTTAACTACCAATTTCAAATGCACTGTTTCATTCATACTTTACTGAATATAATCTTAACAAAAACACTGTTTAAAATGTGATTTCAGCATGATTATTGGTCATGTACTTCATTAGGTAATTATATGGTGGAACAAATGCTTTCAAATAAGATTTTTGATGTCTCAATTTACACATAGATAAAGCCTTAAAAATATTTATCTACCATTACTAATACAGAATTTAAAAAATGAATTCACATTTGTCTAGACAGCAACATTTATAATGATTTCAAAGGAGAAAATGAGTAATAAATTATGAAGTTAAAAACAATGCAAAAAGTTTTAAAATTATCTTCTTACCTTGGACTTAATTTCTCATCTTCATTCTGATTCCTAAAGATTTCTGGTGATTCAGAGCTGCTATCTACAGGAATGTGAACAATCCAAAAATCTTTTATTACTTTTGGGTATATTTACTGTGTTTCATCATCTTAGCATAACTTATATATTTTCAACTGGTATAGTAAAAATTTCATAAAATTGTTCACCTGTTTCTGATCTTGAATGAAAATCTTTAAAAAACAATATTCACCAATTCCAAGTACAATGGTTGTACATCTTGCAATTGATGTAATCAGCATATTGCTATAAAGCTACTCTACACTACACTGTTCACCTGCTACCAGTCAGTATTTACTCCACACAACACTTGATCAGCCCATTAACTACTCTAAACTACACTGTCAACTTGTTAACAATCCTGCAGCTACCCTACACTACACTGTTCACCTGCTACCAGTCAGTAGCTACTCCACACAACACTTGATCAGCCCATTAACTACTCTAAACTACACTGTCAACTTCTTAACAATCCTGCAGCTATCCTACACTGCACTATTCACCTGCTACCAGTCAGTAGCTACTCCACACAACACTTGATCAGCCCATTAACTACTCTAAACTACACTGTCAACTTCTTAACAATCCTGCAGCTATCCTACACTACACTGTTCACGTGCTGCTTATCCGTGAGTTACTCTACACCACACTATTTACTTGCTACCAGACAGTAGCTACTCTACCCAACATTGTTTACCAGTCCAGTAGCTACTCTAAACTACACTGTCGACCTATTATCTATCTGACAGCTACTCTGTTCTTATGTTCCTTATCCATTAGTTACTCAACATTACACTGTTTCCGTGCACCAGTCAGTAACTACTCTACACAACACTGTTCATCAGTTCAGTAACTACTCTACACTACACTATTCACCTGTTACCAATCCAGCAGCTACCCTAAACTATACTGTTCAATTGCCATCAGTCCAGTCTCTATGCTACACTGTTCAATTGCTACAAGTCCATTGGTTGCCCATCATAATGTGTGATACAGTTCATAAAGAGGTCTTGCACATAGCATCAAAAAATACTTGTTTCAACCAATGCTGTGTTATTAGGCATAAAACAGTCCTTTCAATCAATTAATAGCAATCCAGACTGATAAAGGTTTGAACATATTGTCAGAAGTGTGAGTCTGAAAGAGAATTGTTAACAGTATCCATACCTGAAAATATATTTCAGTCAGATACACACCTCTCCACACCACAAACAGCTATAATCTCATGCACTGCTGTAAAAATTTTCTGTGCATGCCAAAATCCTCGGATGAAGCTCCCACTCATACAAGTATTAATGCGTATTGTGCCAGCCTATGATGTAATCATCATTAGACTATAGTCCTCCAATAGCAGGAGGATGACACCTTCTCAATGCACAGTAATTCTCAAGAGCACTAGCAATTGAACAAAGACTCATTCTTGACAAGGCAAACTAAATTCAGTGGGAGGAAGAATAGAAGGTTCTGAAAAGAAGTGAGTATCTACCTGAAATACATTTTCAGAAAAGGAAGATATTAACTTCAGTAATGCTACTTATTTTTGTGGATAACAAACAACCAGAATCCCAAACTGAATATGGTGGAAGGGCTAGCAAAGATAAAAAAAATTACAAAGATAAGCTCCTTTTTGAAAACACAGCATCAGAAACTCCTTGGACTGTGTCAAACAGTGGGGAGGAGGGGTAGCCTAGTGGGGCATCACTCAGTGTAAGACTGCATCAACCTCAGGAAGTATTCTTTGCCCACTAAAGGAGGTAGAGCAAAATATATTGCGAAAACAATATTTTGCCTGGTGATAAATTGTCACTAAGGTTGGCAGAATTTGAGATTGCTCAACCATCCATTATATAATGGGTGGTCGGCTAAGCATGAGTGTGTAGTCAGGTCATTCCACAGTGGAGAAATACATACGTGAGACACTACTACAATAATCAGGTGCAAGGAGAGACATCCCAGACCTGCTTTCCAAAGAGAATAGAAGACCCATCCAGCTAAACTAACCACTGGGAATGACTTGGTTCATAACATAGTGGGGTGGACTGTACTACATTACCAGGAACACTCCAGCCCTACTTCCCATTGAGTGGTGGATCTACTTGGTCTCAAACCAGTGGGAATGAAATGTCCTGATGGAGAGCTCTCTATATTAGCCTCCCTAGTAGCTTTGGACTGGGTAAGCAAGAGTTCTCCCTTTGTTCCACTTCAAGAAAATGGGAGGGAGGAATTTGAATTTGGGATAATGCTGGAGAGATGCTTAGACTGATATAGGAATTCTGACATCTGCCTAGGTCCCACACTGATAGACTATGCGATGGGTTACCACAACTAAAAAAAAGCAAGTGCCAGCCAAGTGCATGGGCAGTCACACACTTGGTGCAATTATCTTGTTTTTCTGATATTTTCCCCCAGTGTAGAAAGGCCTAAAAGCTAAAATATATATATTTTGCCAGATATATTACAAATGTGAGAGTAATGGCTCCCTCAAGCAAGAAGGGGTATTAATATGTCAGAAGCATATAAAAGGAGGTTGAATCACACCAGATACAAAGCATCCTCCACCACAGTTGCAGAGTCTGAGAACTGATATCAAAGAAGTGGAAGTGGAAAGGCAGTACTGATAGGACTCCCATACCAGTAGCAAATACACTTATAATACAAGAGGATGGAGAAACCACACTGTGGGAAGGGTTCAAGTCTATGCAAGATAGTCAATCTGCCACCAGGGCCTGAGCTCCTAATACGTGATAGACTGGCAACTGAATGTAATGACTATGAGCATAAAAGGGAAAGTCTAAAACCAAAAAAACTGAGGACCCAGGAGCAAGTGCCTCCCTATGGAAATAGAAGAAACAACAGAGGAAGTGACTGAATGGATCCTGATAAGAAGACCAGACAGATGAAATGAAGATGAGGGCAAGCTTGTGAAGTAACTATCATCTCGAGAATGTAGAAATAGAAAAACATTCTCCTCTAGAGACCAAGTGCTGGAGATGGATCAGGCATCTCAAACTGCACACCACCTGAAAAGAAACTTTTGTGGAAAGGTGTGTCTGTAAGAGTGGTTGTTATCAAGCACAAAGTAACACAATGTACCACATGTGTTGCACTCACCCCAGATATGGAAACCTACTTATGTAAATCATATAGGGCTCCAAACAGATGCAAGTCTAGATAAGGTGAGGGAAGATTGTCCAGGATTGTGTAGGATCTAGCAAGCCACCACGATTGTGGGAGAGGAAAAGAAGACAGTAGATTTCTGGATATACTTGCACTGACAGGCCAGAAACCATTGAAGGGAACACATAATAGCACCTTTCAAAAGGAACAAGGGACTCAAGGGAAGAGAGAGTCCCCAAAAGAGACAAATACACTCATGCAGAAAATGAAGGAGAAATGAGAGCTTTGGTATCAAACTCACTATGTCTCAAAGACATGCTGAAGTAGGCTGAGCCTGCCTTGCACATGAAGTAAGAACGACTTCTAAGTAAAAAAATACAGTGTGGAAGTGTAAGCTAAATTGAAGAGCCGAACCACGTATCCCAAATGAGAAGACTCCCAAAAGAGAAGGGAGGTCACAACAGAGGAAGCCACATTGAATGGGACATGTAAAGGCTAAATATCCATATAGTAGTGGATCAAGAAGTCTCAAGAACGTAACCTCTGAGCAAAGGTCCAATGGACCCGATGAAAAAGGATTAGGCTATAGCCAACCTGAAGTGAAGGTCTGAGAAACAACAATTCGACCATTGTAGATTAACCCTAAGAAGCAAAAGAGAGGCAGGCAAATCGAGTTGTGGAGAGTATCCACCACAGAGTGAAAAAACTGTCCACGGGAAATTAATGAAAGACAAAGGTGAGTCATGTTGGATAGACTGATGACTGGCTGCCAACTTCCAAGAATTGCAGAAACAACAAAAAGATGGGAAGAAAACTCATAGTAGGCTTGAGAAGTTGTCCCATAGTGTACAAGATAGGTAAGGTGGAGAGTAAAACAGGAAGCCCTTTAAAATATTGTATCGTTCTTTAATATAATGAATAAAATTGTGGAAAGAAACACTACATGATGAATAGGAATGAAATTTTAAAATAACAAGTGCTAAAATTCTGGTAATTCTGAATAAAAAAAATGTCTGAAGAGAAGTAGTATCAAAGAAACAATAAACCTTGGGAATTCATGGGAATTACTGCACATGGAAGATATGTCAGTCTGCTATTGGTGGAAGGCTATAATCTAATGATGTTTACGTCATAGGGCTCAATACAGTTAAACACTTGTAGGAGTGGGAGTGCCGTTCAAGGCTTTTGCAGAAATTCTTTTTGGCAGTGCATGGGGTAATAGCTATTCGTTGTGCAGAGAGGTGAATAACATTTCTGAATCTATTGCTATTCAGGTTCTTAATGTATCTTTCTTTACATACATTGCTGATGATTTAGTGTTAGATAACACTAAACAGCACAATGGTTGTTAAATTTACAATTGGTTATTCAGCAATCAGCATACCACTATGAAGCTACTCTACACAACATTGTTCACTTGCTTCCAGTCCAGGGACTGTGCATCTTACAATTAGTATAATCATCATGCCATTATAAAGCTATTCTTCACAATACTGTATGCCTGTTACTTATTCAATAGCTATGCTACTCTGCAGTGTGCAGTCTTCACCTGCTACCAGTCTAGTCACTACTCTAAACTCACTCTTCATCGTAGCAATCCAGTGGTTTTGCATTTTACAATTGGTATTGTCAACATATCACTAAAAAGCTACTCTACACAACTCTATTCACATGCTTCCAGTCAAGTAGTTACTCTACACTATTGTGTTCACCTACTACCAGTCCAGTGGTTGTGCATTTTACAATTGGTATTGTCAACATATCAATAAAAAACTACTCTACACAACTCTATTCACATGCTTCCAGTCAAGTAGTTACTCTACACTATTGTGTTCACCTACTACCAGTCCAGTGGTTGTGCATTTTACAATTGGTATAGTCAGCATATCACTAAGCAGCTACTCTACACAACACTGCTTGTATGCTATCAGCCCAGTTGCTACTCTACATTATGCTGTTCACCTGCTATCAGCCCAGTTGCTACTCTACATTATGCTGTTCACCTGCTAACAGTTCAGTGGTTGTGCTTCTTATGAATGGTATAGGTTGCACATCTCTACAAAGCTATCCTACACTAGTTTTGTTAATTCCTTTAATAATATTTTTAGTATCAACCTTAATATTTATATGTTATTGTAAACATATTTGTGATACAGAGAGACAGAAGAAATAAACTTCAATTATTTCTCATGCTGGCAAATGAGAAATTATATCATTTTTTCCTACTGTGATATATTATTCTACTAGTGTTTTTAATCGAAAGTCTTAATATACAGCATAAACTATTCAATGGTATAAATACACATTATGAACATTTTACACCCCCCATCTTTTTGATAAAGGAAACTAACTCTGAACATATTTATTTAATATTAATTTAAATATATAAGGCCCCATCACTGTTACTAATGTGTAAGCAATAAAACCTTTCAAACTATTTACTTGGAGAGTTAACTTGCTTTAGTGCCACAAAAAAAACACATTAAAAGTTTTTGTAAACCTTAAAACACAGAGAAAAAAGTTAAACTGTATAAATTTTGGAATTCTTGGTGTGGTTTTCATCTTGATGAGGAGTAATTTTTTTTCTAAAAAGTACAACTAATTTTAACAGTATCAATTTGTTCATAATTAGGGTGAAAAATGAAGGAATAAAAAGAAAATTAAATTTTTCCAAATACTTTTTGTGTTATATATGTGCTTTTTTTATCTTATAAAAAATAATTATATATATATAAAAATTATTTAAGACTATAATTCATAAATGAATACTATTAATGTGTTGCTTTAATTTAATTATGCTGTTTTACCTTCTGTTGTTTTTGAAGTTGATTGGTCTGATCCATAACTTTCCTTGTGTGTTCCAGATAATGGTGATCCATCAAGAGGCCAGGCAAAATTTGAACGATACTCAGTCACTTTGGGTACAACTGTAGTATCCTCAACAAGGTTTGGATTTCCATAAGGTATAAAAGTAGGATAAACCTGAACCATAAACATTACAAAAGAAAAATTAAAAAAATGGTTCTCTAAAGCTGAAAACCAAACACCATAGAAATATAGATACAAGTGTCACTTATTTCACTAATTTAAAATGATATCTAACATTGTTAGGTATACACAACACATTTCAGTTTAAGTTTAATGTGAGTGTTATGATATAGGTGGTTTACATGGCATGAATGTTAAATTTAGTTATTTTTAAAAGTGACAATTTATTGCAACTTTGTTCATATAACTGTTTACAAATCATATGTTTTGTAGTTCAATATTGATGAATTGGTGATTGTTATATTATTACATCATGTCACTAGAACTTTCTGAGTTTTCCCATTGAGTATTATTGCATCACAATATCTATTAGTGTGAGGAATGTTCTAGATATCTGTCAGTGTATAAATATGTGTCAAAAATTTAGTTAGATAGATAGATAGATCTATATTGCATGATTGTGAGTATAGCCATAAAGAATGGATAGTGGCAACTTTTAAAGTGAAATTATCATAGATTGTATTGTAATAACAGAGAAGAAATAAATTCTCTTGTCAAATTGTGTTCTAAAGTAACTGAGCTGACAATTATTTAAATCTCTGAATACAATTGTGATAACCAACAGCATAATGAATATTTTTATATATATGTTTGACTTGTCTTAATTTATTATTTTAAAACAAGGTGGACTGTGTGCTGTTTGCATATTGTTGAAATTTATTATGAACAACTCACAGACGTTACCCTCAATCACCCAAGCAGCTCTCTGAGTTTTTTACATCATCTTCCCATCTGGTTGTGTGGGTCAAAATATCATCCACATAATGATCGATGTTGGTGGTATTGTGTAACACCTTCCTCATCATGGGGTTGAATGTTGCTGCTGAGTTTACTAACCCAAATGGCTATATTATCTTTAGATTCTCTTTCCATCAAGATCTGCTAATACATTTTACTGTGATTGATCTTGGTAAAGAACTTGGCCCCATCTAGCTTTGCTATGATAATCTCTGAGTTGCCCATAGGTTTGGAGTCGAACTTCATCGTGAAATTCATATTCTGGAAATTTATGAAGTAGCAGTTTGAGCCATCCATCTTTTTCATGATTACCACCAGTGGTTCAATGATTCCGACTTCTAACATTACCTCAACTTCTTGCTTAATCAGGTCTCTTATTGCAGAGTGCATCTTGTAGGGCTTCGCCTTAAGAGAATCTCTGGTCATGATCTCAATCTTATGTTGCACAAGGTCCATCTTTGTTGGTCTATCTGTGAAGATATATGTGTACTGGCACATTAGATCTTGTAGCTCATTCTTCTTCTTGCCAGTCAGTTCTTCAATGATGTTGCCATCTTTGTATGTCTCATCTCCATAGGCCTTCAGTTTCTATGACAAAGTCACCATCTTCTGGTTCTGCATCTATGACAGCCACACATACTATGTCCATCTGTGCCTCAATAGATGTCCCCATTAGGTCTTCTGCTCTCACAAAATACCTCTTCAACAGATTGACATTGAAGATCTTGGTCTTCCCGCCCAGCTTCACCTTATAGTCCATTCTGTTAACCACTTCCTGCTGTTCAAATGATCCTTTCCACTGCAGGATAAGTTTGTTGTTGTCTGTTGGTAGCAGAACCAAGACCTTGTGTCCAACCTTGAAATGTTGATTATTGGCCTTCTTGTCACAGAAATGATTCTGACTGCCTTGAGCTGCATATAAACTTTCTTGAGTGAGTTGACAGGTCTCCTCCAGTTGGTATGTGTGTTCCTCACTTCTGACTGCTCTTCTCCTGTCCACAGTTCTTTGAGTATCTGCATCGAATCTTGTATTGTTTTTCTGTACAATGACTCAAAGGGAGAAAATTCTGTATTCGCTTATGGGACTTATCAGTAAACAAATAATTCTGCCTGCAGATACCTGTCCCAGTCACGTGCTCTCTCCTAGCACATCTTCTTCACCATGCTCTTTAAGACTCCATTGACTCTCTCAAAAAGTCCATTACATCTGGTGTTGTATGGGGTGGTAAAGAGCTACCTAGTGCTGATGAGTCTGCACTCTTCTTGCATCAGTTCTGAGGTAAACTGGGTCTCTCTGTCACTCACGACTTCTTTTGGAAAGCCTGCTCTGCAGAACACTTCTAGGAGGGCTTCTGCTACTTTCTCCATCTCTATCTTCAGCAATGTTATGGCTTCTGGGTAACATGTCACTTAGTCACCTACTGTCAGTATGTACAAGTTTCCCTTGTTGGAAAGGTTCTAGTGGTCCTATAAAGTCCACAGCTACTCTGCTGAACAGCTTTTCTATGAGAAGCATCTCACCCAGTGGCACCTTGGCTATCTTTCATCTTGGTACAGTCCTTTGGTGGCCCGGCATGGCCAGGTGGTTAGGGAGCTCAACTCGCAATCTGCGGGTCGCGGGTTCGAATCCCCGTCACACCGAACATGCTCGCCCTTTCAGCCATGGGGGCATTATAATGTGATGGTCAATCCCACTATTCGTTGATAAAAGAGTAGCCCAAAAGTTGACAGTGGGTGGTGATGACTAGCTGCCTTCCCTCTAGTCTTACACTGCTAAATTAGGGACAGCTAGTGCAGATAGCCCTCGTGTAGCTTTGTGCGAAATTCAAAACAAACAAACAAACAGTCCTTTGGCAGATGTCACATGACTTGCAGAATCTCTGATGACCCCCAGTCAGTGGAAGTTGCTGGTGATTCTGTCTGCCATCTTCTTCGCTTCTAGGTGTCCTCACACAATCAAGTCATGAGCCAACTTTATCACTTGAGTCCAGCATTTTGTTGGTACTATGATCTGTTTAACTTCCCTTGTAGATCTACCTTGATATATCTGGTACAGCATTTTCGTTTGGTCCTCTATTCTCTAAGCCCATTTCCCATTTGTCTTGTGCTCAACTTTCTCCCAGGCACTGTCCCAAAGTTTCTACAGTGAAGGATCTTTCTTATGTAGTTGCTTCAGTTCCTGTAGACCTAAATTCGCAATTTCACATTTCGAGACTTTCAGGGACTTGATGTCTTGCTTGCTTTTCTTTTCTTGAGCTCTTGTGGTGACTGCAGATGCCTCATCAATCTCCTTTCTGTCTGGTTTCTCCAAACTTCTACTGCCTGGTATAGTGCCATTCACCAAGTTGTAGATGGGGTGCCTTCATACACATGGCATCAAGGTTTCGCACATGGTATGGAGTGTCCACCTTTATTCCTGCTATGGGAAATTTTCTCACTGTTCCATCAATCAGCACACACAGATGTACCTTGCCCATCATCTGGTCATCAAATACGTACTAGATTGGTTCTCACTGCTGCATCCAGTGTCTTGTAGGACTTTTACTTTCTTGTCCCAGACGTGACCTTCATCTACTGACATGTTGTGGTTTGTTGCCACCTCTCAATGTTTGTCACATGCTTCAATCACCAGTGGCACTGTTGACCCATTTGTTAATTTGAGCTGACCATCAAACATGCACCATTTAATCACGGTGATAGCACTTCCTTCTTGTGGTGAATCTGACAGGTTGTCTCTATTATGTTTATTCTGGCAGCAGCATCCATGGTGACAGTCACTCTTTTCTTGTTTCTTATCAGCACCAGCCTTGTAGGTAGCTCCAGGTGCTTTATGCCGAGATTTCTGCTGTTGCTTGTTGATGAAAGACTTGCAGTCACTCACAATACACCCCATTTTGGTGGCATCTTGCTTTTGGTCAGCCACCCTTGGTTTCGAATTTCATTGGTTATTCTTGGACTTGCCAGTTATACTCCCTCCATGAGCTTCCACATACTGTTCTGCCAGCTTGGTCATCTCATCCATGTCTTTTGGTGCTCTCTCTTTTAGGAACAGTGACATGTCAGCAGAGCACATGATCATGAACTGTTTATGTATTAGTAGATCTACTAGGCCTTAAAAATTACATTCACGCTTAGTTATGTCAGTTCACCTTGTGAAATATCATCACAGATGTGCCACAAGCTGAAACACAGTTTCTCCAGTGTCAGATTTGACTTCTCTGAACTTCAGGCAAAAACCTTCCTCAGTAAGTTCATAGCATTTCAGCAAGGACACTTTTAACTTGTTATAGTTCATGGTATCTTCTGAAATCATGCCCACATACACTTGTAGGACTTTTCCTGTAATAGGAAGGCTTAGGCAGACTGTCCAGTCACCTTTGTCCCAGTTCTGACTTTGGGCAATTCTTTCATACCTTACCAGGAAAGCATCCATTCCATCTTTCTGTCCATCAAGTTTGGGAAGCTTGGGTTGACTGAACCTGACCCCATTGTCATTCTTAGATTCTCCTCGTTCTGTTGGCTAAGCTTGGCAATTTCAACTTTTGCTCTTATTCTCTTTATTTCCAGTCTCTCCTCTCTCACTCTCATTTTCTTCTTTCTCAATTTGTGCTCTTATTCTCTCTATTTCCAGTCTCCAATTTCCCTCCATTTATTCTTTCTCAACTTTTTGGGATTGTATTTCACACTCATGTTCTTCTTTCAGTCTTTCTCTTTCTTCCTCTCTTCTTTGCCTCTCCTCTGCTGATGCTCTTCTCCTTCTAATTCTTGTTTAACAAGCTCTTGCAGATTACCATCTTTGAGCACAAGTCGCTTGCCCCTCTCTATCTACTTATCAAAATCAGTCAAAATTATTATATAGTGTGATTGTGACCTCTTCAATATTTTTGATACCACTACAGCTATGAATATATAGGCCTATTTGCTAGTTGTTTATGTCTATTTCTACCACTGTTTACCACTGTAGAACCTGACTGGCTCGCCACTATCAGGTTTTAGGTATGGGTCAGATGCTTTACAGTAGACGTCTGTGAATTGTTGGTAATAAATTTCAACAATAAACAAACAGCACAGTTCACTTGTTTTAAAATAATATATTAAAACAAGTCAAACATATATATACAAATGTTCATTACACTGTTGGTTATCACAATTGTATCAAAGTCCACACAGGCTCGTTCAATTACTTTAGACCACAACTGACAAGACAAATTCTTCTTCTCTACTCTGTTATTACAATACAATGTGTGATAGTTTCACTTTAGAAATCACCACTATATGCTATTTATGGCTAAACTCACAATTACACAGTCTACATCTAAATTTTCGAACATTCACCAGCTACTAGATATTATGATGCAATAATACTCAATTAAAACAGATTCACAGAAATTCTGAAATAATTACAAGAGACACACATTTGTTACAGAAAAGGTGAGGCATAGAACTATAACTATCAGAATAATCAACATACTGTGTAACAACATATTACAAGTATGCTTTAATGATGAGATAAATCTGACTGATTAAAAACAAAAAGAATTGGTGTAACTGAACTACTTATGTACAATAAGGTGAGACACAGAACAATAATTATTGTAACTGTTTGACTGCTAAAAATGAAAACCAACAGAAGTCTTTCTTTGACATCATCTTACATTGACCTCTGTGGTTTTATCTGTCATTTCTGTCTGTCTATAAATGGAGAGCAGTTTACGAATATTAATAGCAATGAAAATTGCACATTATGACTCCTAAAAAATGAAAAATCTTTCTTTTAAACCTTTGCCTAGATTTCTTTGGTTTTTATCCACTATTTTTTGTTTGTCTGTGGATGAATGTGGCTTATCAAAGGACAACTATTCAAGCATCATACGGCCATCATTATATTCTTGGGGTGGAGCGGGGGGTAGAGGAGACTATGGGGGGTTGTGGTTTAAAATCCATAAGAAGCTAACAGATCTATTTACTTCTATTCAGTTGGTCTTATAAATACTTTTATGATCTGAAATTACACAGTGAATTTTTGCATATTAACATATAAGAACATATTACAATTATTTGCTTTTACTGTAAAGTCTTACATGACCCTGTGTTCCATTTATTTTAAAGCTGAAATCTTCTTTTATTTATTAAAAATTCACAGCAAGCAATATTTGAAATCAGGTGTATATTTTTGTAGTTGTTAATAATTTCGGAAAGGGCAGGAAGGCAGGGGCTTGAGCCCACCCAGACACCTCAATAAATTTTACATTTATAAATTTACACTGTTAAAGCAATATCAGTTATGTGATCATAATATGGCTAGGATGCACTCAATAACTATAACAGCCAAGTGAATAAATCAATATATTTTTTTGTGTGATACACTTATCAAACAAGTATAGTGAAAACAACAGATTCTTAGAAGCACTCAGTTTGGGTTTTAGTTTGTGTGGAACACGTCAATCAACCACTTAGTTTTGATACTAAATGTGAGATATTGTTTCTACATACCACTTGTTTAAAAGCTATAATAGGCCGTGATAAACAACTCTGCACTCAGCCATAATGTTGCATCTTTTACAGATGATGAATATTTAATAACTTACTGGCTCTACATCAACGTGAGGTTGTTTCACATATTCCTTATGTGGATTGGAAATTCCATTCACTTGTCGCTTCTGTTCCTGAAAGATGAATACTTATAACAAATGCGAATGAATAGGTTAATTTACATACCATGCGCACACCTCACACACGTAAATTGTTTTTGCAACTGACAACTAAATATATAAAGAAATTACAAAACTGACAACTACAAATATACAGGAATTACAAAACTGACATACAGCAATTAGACAAGTTTTCCAAGGTGAGTAACTGTATATTATTGTCTTATTTTGTAAATAATAAGATCTCTGATAAAAATAAATAAATTTACTTTTATACACTGATGAGATTGATATCTAACTTACAAGAATTAGACATATTTGTTTAAAAAAAAAAAGATAAATGTAAATATAAGCATTATAAAGAGATATCAAATCAATGTTAAAAGTAAGACATTGTTTGGATATCTATCATTATACAGATTTTATATGTGTGTGTTTATTGTTACTAACATAAATTACACATTCTATGGACAAGTAACTGTTGCAGGAATGACAAAAATTTTGAGAATATTTATATGAATTAGAATTTGATAAATATAAAAAACATTACAGTTACTTGCATTTATACCGCCCAACTATACTACATGAATGAAACAACTTCTTAAGCAGAACTTTAAATTCAAATTCTGTTGTGTTCTAATAGTCAGTTTTGGTTTCATACAGTAGCAACCTTCATTAAGCTTTAAGGGATAAAGTAACCCAGCTGCATCTGTACTAGGATTTGTAATTGCTCACCACCAGTATTCAAAGAATAAGAATAACTGATCTGTTATATATAGTTATTACATAAAAATGCAAACAAACCAAACAATAAAGGTAACATTATTAATCAATTTTACAGGAAATACTAATATTAGTTAATATTTATGAATGTCAAATCTAAAGGTATAAAAATATACAAGTTACTAATACTTTTTAAACTTTTCCAAATTCTTACAATGTAATAATAAAGGAAAATCTCAAAATGAAATACTGATATATAAAGTACATGAAGACAGTCACTCATTTGTTTGGGTTGTTCTCTTTCCTGATTAGCTGACTTACTTAAAGATGACCCTTTAGTGATCCTTCCATAAGACTTCAAAGCAAAACAACATTCAGAAGTAATAATAAATTATTATACAAAAAAATATTTTCGTTAAAAAAATTCATATCATCATATGTACCAATTCTAGAAATCATCTACATCTACCTTAAATTCAAAGCAGTTGAGAATTTTAGTTTTCATATTTCACAAAAGTTTATATAAATGCAATCCAGAAGGAAAGTGAAAATCAAACTGGTACTTTCATCATATTTTATGATTGAAATGCTAAGTGAGCACTCATGGAAGATGGTATACACTATGACTGACTTAACATTTTGTTTATTAATTTCAACCTGTAATATATTTTACCTGTGTTAATGCTCCACTGTAAAGGTAATATTTGAATTATTAAAGCATAAAAAATAATGTTTCTCTTTTGATGTATGTTTTAAAGTAGCACTTACATGCTGGAGCAACAGGCATAAACAAAAAATTCTTGTCATTGAAAGACTCAGCAGCTATTACTTGTGTAACACTATATCAAAAATTGTACCTGACTGGTAGTTATGTATGACTAGATTTAGGAGCTCCCTGCTCTCTCCAATTAAAACAGAAACATTTTTGTAAGTAAATTTTGCAAGATTCATTGTATTTTTTTAAGCCATGTGTAACATCTGAACAAAACATATTACAACAATTTTGATTTTGTTGCTATATATTCATTTATATTAATTACATTAATATTATTTGAGGCCATTTGAAGGTCCCTGGCTATTGAGTGCTCCTACCCCAGATTATCAGCCACAGTGTAGTAGTATAAAATATTTTTTTGATAGGTGAAGAATTAAATTAACATTATTTCTTCCTTCACATACATACATCACTAGCAACAGCACACTGCTTGGATGACTTAACAGACTGATCAACTGTTACACCAAGATCCCTTTCTTTTATGACACTCTTAAGGTTACTTCCATCCAAATTATACTTATAATTCAAATTATGATAACCCACATGCATTATCTTGTGTTTATTATAATTAAAAGCCATCTACCATTTATTTGCCCTACTCACTAAATGATCTAAATCCTTTTGTAAGGTAGCAGTTTCCTCTTCACAGTTAGCAACACCCAAGACCTTAATATCATCAGCAAATTTAAGTAATTTATTGACCATTCCATCATCTATGTCATTGATGTAAATAAAAATGAGCAAAGGTCCTAAGACTGAGTTACCCCACTTGTGACATTAATCCAGTTTGACTGAACTCCATTTATAACAACCCTACTTCTTTCTTCCATCCAGCTACTCTTCTATCCAATTAGCTAACTTATTCCCACATTTCTATAGAGATAATTTTTTACAAGCCTTTACTGTGGCACCTTGTCAAATGTTTTCAGAAAATCCAGACACAGCAAATCAACATAAGTGGTAACATTTCCAAAGACTATCAAAAGATTAGTAAGGCAAGATTTTCCCTTAGTGAAACCATGTTGACTATCCAATAGAACTCTCAACTTTGTTAAACAATTTTGCAAAGCATCTTTAATCAGATTTTCCTACAACTTTTTCCTACAACTAATGTAAGACTAATAGACCTATAATTACTTGAACAATTATTATTACCTCCCTTGAAAATAGGAGCAACTTTAGCTAATTTCCAATCCTTTGGCACCTGCCTACTTTACAAGGACTTACAAAAAATAGTAATCCTCAACAGCCTTCAAATCCCTTGGGGAACTATTATCTGGCCCAGGTGCCTTATCATTCTTTAAACTTCCCAATTTTTCTTAACAAGCACAGAATCATTGCAATCATCTTATTCGACCTTGTTTCCATCTATGAACTGTCCAAGATTTGGAATACTGCTTCAATCTTCATTAGTAAAACCTGAAGAAAAAGCAGAATTTAATAACCCAGCCACCCCATAAGAATAAAATACAAGCCTTCCTTTATTCTCCTTCAAGGGTCCTACTCCCATCCTAACATTTTGTTTACCCTTAATGTATTTAAAGAAATCCTTATGTTAATGTTTATATTTCCCCATACATCCTTTTTGATTTCCTAATTTCGCGTTTCACCAACTTTCTTGATCTTCTATAATCTTCTAAATCTACTGCCATAACATTCAATTTAAATTTCTTAAATTTATTATGCTTTTCTTTAATTTTATCTCTTAAACTGTTTGTTAGCCAACCTGTTTTTTACTTGCAGCCACCCTTTTCTTTCTATAAGGAATATGTTTACCTTGAATATTTAAAAATTTATCTTTAAGAAACTTCCACATTTGATCAGTGTCTCCAAATAACTCAGCTGCCCAATTCACAACAGATAATTCTTGTCACATCCATTCAAAATTTGCTTTTTTTTAATTTGTAACCAAAATATCACTATTTCTGATCTCTGTATGCAGCAAAACATTGAACCTAATAGAGCAATGATCACTTGCAACCAGATGTTCACCAATTTCCACCCTCTCAACCATTTCTATATTAGGAGTTAATGGTAAACCTAAAATAGCATTGTTTGCAGTAGGTTTCTTGGTGAACAAACCCATCTTGAACTGTTTTAAAAAAATCTTTCTCCTTGATGGTTTGACTCTAGCATTTCCCAATCTATATGACTGAAATTAAAATCACCCATAATTATGACCTCATTAACATCTGAAATCTTAATCTCACTGTAACGTGTCTCATTAATTTCATCAGAATCATCTGGTATTCTGTAACAAATTCCCACTAAAAGCCCTTTCCTTTTATCACCACTAATAGAAACCCAAATGGATTCAATCTCCTTGCTATTAGCTTTGATATCCTCAACTTCAACAGGATGTAACTCACCTTTTACATATAAAGCCACTACTCCCTCTCTCTTTAGTACTGTTACGTCTCCGTTTCTTAATTAACTTTCCGTAACTTCGTTCCGACGAAACTTTAGCGACACAAGTCCTTACTTAATAAAACTGGTTTATTCTTTCCGAATATAACTTTACGATACACTTAATTTCAACAACGCTCACGCTGTAACAACGAACGTGCTCAACTTCAATAATACTCTTTGACTACAGGTCAATTACTCACTGTCTACGCACACATCACATTATTGTCCGTCACGTTGTCACCCTCTTTTATATACCAGTCTACCCTATATCTAGTAAATGCTAGAGCATTCGCCAAGGTACAGGATAGTTCTAGAAACGTGGCGTCACACTAGTCATATGACCTCGCTGACGCAACAGTATATAGCTTCATACAATGTGGCTTGAAAGTTACTGCTGTCATTAGAATAAAACGTTTTCTAGGATAGTAGAGATAGTTACACTAAAACTATATGTCTTGTATTGTGGAAGCTACGCACCAAGACTTGCAAAACATAAGCTATAGCACATGATGTACTGTAAACATAAAGTGAATATGTGTTTATCAATTTCCAGAGTTTAGTTTGAACAATGTTTTAAATGGTTAAGACCCTGTGGGAACAGAGTATAAAAGTTTATACTAAGCTAGGCCTTAGAGGTACCCTTATCCAACAGTTAACTCACCAGTAAGTTAAACAGTCACCTTACAAAATCAGCTACCCAATATTAGTAGATCCAAGACGTAGCAAGATCCAATTTTGTAGTAAATTAATTTTTTGGTTCTTTAAATGTTGAGAAAAACAGGATTAATTGAAATATTCAGATTAAAGACATTGTGTATAATTATAATCTGGAATTATTATACTGGATAGTCTGTGATATTTATATTTCAAGTGAAATAAATGTTAAAAAAATTTTACATATGAATTGGTATCTTGTGTTTAATTCTTTCACATAAATTCCATCCATCAGTCAACCCTGTAGTACTAACAGCTATATAACCTGTTATTTAAAATATATATTATTTGAAACTGAAACTAGTTAGCATTTCGGCCCATCTCATAATAAACACCAATTAAACATACTAAACACTGGAAGAAGCAAACAAATAAAATTCTAAATTTCCCATCCAACTTAGTTTAGTGTATTATAGCTATAATTAATAACTCTAGTTATCAATATAGCAGAATATATACATATTAATTTATGGTTATCTCCTTGCAACAAATTTTAGAATATTGTCTCACACTACACATATCAAAGATTTAGATATTTAGGATACCTTTTTATAGACTAACTGCTATAAGAATAAATATTTATGCTCAGTTGCACAGTTTTAAACAACTAACAACTTTCTCTACTTGTACAGACAGTACATAGACAGGAATGTGAGTTTCATCTACTGTTTTTTAAGCAGGGGATAATTAGTTGCCACCTTTATGTATTTCAACAAAAGATATATATATATATATAATACTAAGAACAATACCTAAACTTGATTAAAAAATTATTTTGATAAAGTTTTATACATAATACTTAACAACTACAAATATGACCTATTTAGACTGTCTAAAGACACACTTTGTAAATCACAGTTTTATAATGTGTAACTAGATATATTTCCAAAATTTGTACATACTTTTCTTATATATTTATATTTTTAGCACCATTTCCTTACCAAAGTCCTAGATTTTCGTTCTGAGCTATGTGTGTCGATTCCAACTCCTGTACTTTTAGAGTCACTGTAATCCATTACCTCTTCATTGTTTAAGAGAAGATCCCTTTTATATGTCAAATCATGATATTTTTTCTTTCTGTAAAGGGCTGGTTCCATGGTTTTAACTATACATGTGTGAAACAGAAATATATATATTTATGATGTTGAAGAAGTTATAGCTCTTAGTTTCCAGATTAATAATGCCTAGCTCTAAAACCTTCAACTACACATCGATTTTTTACTACATCAATGTAAATGAGTCTTGAGCCTTCATATTTTTATACTGGCAATATTCTGTAGTACAGGATGGTGAAATTTCTTACTACTCCCTTATGTTGAATTATTCAAAAATTATTTTTTTTAAAGTTCTTTGTTAGAAAGCTGGGAATCACTTAAGTAGCTTTTTAACCTTCCCTGTTTTAAAAACATGCAATTAACTGACTTTCTTGTAAGGAAGATAGAACATGACATCCAGAAATAGAAAATTATCTTTCCTGTCAGTGATTTATTTAAGTTCAGGGGCAATCATGCTTTAGAGCTCCACTTTCAGTGGACTTAAATATTGAATGTGATGTGAATTTTGTATGCAAACTTAGCTCTTTGTATGTTTTGTTTTTGTATAAAAAGCCATGATTTCCTCTGTAAGACAGGATTTTTAGACTTATATATAACCTTTAAGCCTAACCTATTTTCTTTTAAACTCCCTTTTACTTTGTTAATCAATTGATTTGTGTGGCTTTTATAACTTTAGTGTGACTTTTGTTTGCAGAAACTTGTGGATTTAATTTTAAGTCATTCACTGCTGATTCGCATATAGGGTATGGTCCACCTCTAGTAGTTGAATGCTATATGGTGTACAGCTTGCAAAACTTCTGCACACATAGTCAATGGAATAGCTTATGAGTTTCTATTAGAGTGATATATATTGATTTAAACTTGGAGAAGTCTAGTTATCTTGTTAGAATCTAAGCTGAATGTGGATTTTATTTTCACTGTGCTCTAAGCTTAACTTGGAATTTCACTTTTATATTTTAGCTTTAGGTGTTAGTTTAACTTACAGGAAGGATAAACTGAAGTGATAAGTTTTTTAAACAAAGTTTTCATCTTGCTCTTATGAGTTTGATGTCCACCAGTAAACACTTGCCTTTGTTCACTTTTTTTTTGTAGTGTGTTGTGGGTGTGCTCTTGCAAATTAATATTTCTGCACTTTTCAAACTTTTGGGTGTTAAGGTCCTTCTACTTAGAAAGCCTAACTGATTGCTCTATGAGCAAAACTTTTTACCAGGAATACCACAACTTTCATATAAAAATTCCAACAGGTGATAATACATACAAAAGTAAAACAACTTCTGCTAAATAAAATGAACAGTATAACTTGCAATACAAAACATAATAATGTGTATGAACTATAACGTAAAATATATTACGTACAAAAAAAAATTCTAACAAAATATTTAGTGTAGTGTTAAATAAACCATTATGAGTGGTTGAAAAGTACAAAACAAAAAACTGTGAGGATCATTTTGTTTTTGCCAAAAGTAACATATATTACACTGCTGTGCTTTCTTTTATGATATTTTGAGTGAATGATTTTATATTCTGACATTTCTCATTACAACATGAAGGAAGGTCTCTCAACTTTCAATGTGTAAATATTCAGTTTGTGCTGGTTTTAGCAAGCATGCATGTGATAATATTTGAGTAAGACAAATATATTAAACTGGATTTTGTGTTATATTTACAGATATTGCTCATTCTTTATATAAAACACCTAGCAAATTGAACTTTAACATTTATAAATTTAATAGATACAGCATACAGCATCAGTGACTGTAACATCCTTTGCTACCCAAGTTGATAATATCTGTTTGTTACGTACAGCTGACAAATACTGTGACAAACAAGGGTCATGAGGTTACACTGTTGACTGGTAAAAAAACAAAAACAAGTTTATCTATTGAATTAGAGTATACTTTGTTGGTTCAGTTCTATCTGTAGATCTACAATTTCCATTCATCTTGAAGATGAACATATTTATTTTTACAGAGATCTGTCTTGAGAGAAAGTTGCAAATCTAATAACAATCCAATAGAAGCAACTGTCTTTTCATGTGTGCTAGTAAATGTGCTGCAATTTTGTTTTGTGATAAAGACTGTTAATTCTATTAAACTTCTCCAGTCTTATTATATCTTACGAACAAGAAAACTGAGTCAGGTTTTCAAACACAGACTACTCCACAAAGTTCCTGGTCAAATTAGCTGTTATTAGTGGATACAAGTATCTGATACTTGTTGGTAAATCAGTTTACTAGAAAATACCATACTACTTGTGTCGTATTTTTATGAACCACAAGGTTTTTGATGATCATTATATCCAAAATAACTTGAAAAAATGACAAAAATATCGATTTGGTCACATTCGTTACACTTGAAGCAACAACGAATAATACATGGAATTTTTTAAAAGTTTTACCCTAAAAACAAAACTAATAAACATTTTATAACAAAAATACCCAAATTAATAGATTTAGCAGGTTCTTACAAAGTGAAAATGTTATGTTAAACTTATCACAATGTTCTAATGTGCTCTTACAATGAGTGGGTTCTTTTGGATTATTTGGTAAAAACAGTGACAAGTCAAGTCTACTTAATGATAAATTAATTTATTTGTTCAATAACAATTGCTACAGTCTACATTCACTTTGACAAAATGATATAGACTTAGGTTCACATACATTTCATTAGAAATTCCAAGACTAATTGAATGCCTAACTCACAGAATTTCATTGCTAATCAATTGAGTAACTGAATAGTTGTGATAATTCTCACTACTAACATTAAATAACTTTTGTAACAGTGAAATGAACAAGTTGCTGACTAATACCGAACACTTCACTGATTACTCATATTTATATCACACCCTTATTTCTATAGATTTTACAAAGCTTCTTTGTTACATCATAATAAGTTTCTAGATATTGTATTATAATGATGAGTAGCTCCCTCTAACAAACATCTTAAAATAAAGATAATTCATTATATGTATTAGCTTCCATCACCCTGAAGTGGCTGGCTCAATTAATTTCATAATATTTGAAATGGTAACTGGAAACTGTCCAACAGTTTACTTGGGCTATTATTGTGTTCAGGTTTTGCCTGAGATGAGGGATGAAAAAAACTTGAAATAGGGCATATTTCCACTTTTTTATACACTTTAGGCTTTAAACTGAAAGACACCTGTATTTAATTGATTAAATGATTCAATTACTATTTTCCACAAAGCAGAATATACATTTAGCACCTAATGGAGGTTTAATAACAAAAGAAAGGGAATATTATCTAATATTGTCCTTTATACAATTCTTGCTTCCTTGATGGGTATCCTCAGCTAGTCTAACAAAATATAGCTTATAACAACAATAAATACCATGTAGAAATGATTATAACAAAAAAAGAGGTATACTATTTCACTTTATGATTTTATCAGCATTAGTATACTTAGTCTAAGATCCAAATAATTTTCTTATTTTCACATCAAATTAAATAATTTGAAACTTGGATTTCATATTTATATTTTTGATCCTGTGGCAATTGTACAAGCCTAAAAGCTATCATAAATACTTCCTAAAAAAGAATATTTACAGTTCTGACTGATGATATAAGAAGAAAGAAATAACAATTAAGTAACTTTAATGGGCCTCTCATATATAAGTGTCTCAACACTCGGTGTATTTACAAGTCACTTAAAGTCCAAATATAGCACCTGATTTCAAACCCACCCTAATTTTAATGATATTACTCAATTCACAACCAACAAATAATTTGGTGACAGAACTGGATCAAGGGGGATAATATTACAGAAGTATCATTCTAAGGTAAGATTATAAAAATGCATCATCTTTCATCATATTGTCTGACAATATCAGTGTATGTCTTTATTTACGTAGCTACATGTCACAAACATCAAGATGATAGTTTAACATTCATGTGAAATAAATTAGAAAAAATATGATTCCCATCCAGACCTAAAAAAAACAGATATTTGCTAAAATGTAGGTATTTTTAAAAAGAACCAAAGAAGAAAATTATAGAAAGTTTCATAGAAACTCCTATAAGAAAGTGTTTATAGACTTGAAAACCTGATAAGTTTTAATAGCAAATAAAACTCAAAAAAGTATTAAAGAACTGTATTTTCAATATTCCATTATTATTAATTACATATTTAACAATCTCACAACTGTTAGTTAAATGATAATGAGCTGATTGATATGAGTAGATCTGTAATGTCTAATCTGATAAGTACATCCTTTAATCTGATAAGTACAAATTTTCTGATGTATTGATTTAAGCTCTTGTAAAATTCTGAAACCATACAAGAATTACCAAGCATACAGCTACTGTATTGTTACGTCTCTGGTCGTTTGTTAATTACTCGTAAGAATTATTTCCGAAGAACTTCAGCGATACAAGTCCTTTCTCAAATAAAACTAGTTTATTCTTTCTCAATTCAACTTTGCAATACACTTAATTTCCACAGTCATCTTAACTTAAA